GTTGAGGCAGCTCACTCTCCCTCAGAATAGCACTGCAGTAGTTCAGACTTGTATAGAAGGGGAGAAGGAGAAAGAGAATGATAGATAGGATGAATAGACCTTCTTCTCCCCTCTAAAACTGCTGTTCTCGTGAAAGACAAATAGTTTGCCTTTTTCCTTCATACCCCCCATGACACTCCAGGCTACTCGTGGACTTGACTAGCAGTCCATTACGTCCTAAAGCCTATGCATCTATAACATACACTCATATTAAAAATGCATATTTATAAATGCACTGCCTTGTTCTGGAAAGGGCTGGTCTGTCAAATGAATCCAATGAGAAGTGAAATACAAAAAAGCGTCATTCGATCTAAAGGAATGAGATGAGTAATTTTCACATAGGACAGAATGAGAGAGACTAAGGCTTCTGTCATATGTGCAGTCCCCAAAAAAATCAGTACAGTGTGTTGCGAAGCACCAAAATGTGCCATTTGGCAAGCACAGATTCTGCTCGGTGCCTCTTGACAGGAATTTTTACTTTCAAACAAGAAAACCAGCTTTATTCATGAGCTGGGATAATGAAACCAGTTCAAATAAATCAACAAATGAATGTACAGTCATTTAAATGATCAACACTGGATCTCAGGACTTCTTTACTTTTTAAGTTTCACCTGATTACTGAACTCTATTTGGCAGGGCCCGGGCCTTTTTTGTTTTCTTTTAAACTAAAGGAACCAGAAGGTGTTGTATATAACGTAGCCTAATTCACAAGCATAAACCTCAGATTTGTCATAATTTCCAAGAGCGATGCCATCTCTGCTTTTCACCTGCAGTTATCAAACACACACAAAAAAAATAAATAAAATATAAAAAAATCACCCACAATTATATTTTAGAAGTTGGTTTTAGAAAATGCCACCAGGGTGTGTTCTGTTAATTCTGTCAATTTTGCATAACACAAGCTAACATAAAAAAATACAAATAAAAACTTTTGTTGCTCTCGCTACAGTCATATTCCCCAATAATAACAGGGTTTGATACATCTCTGATGGCTGAAGGTGAAACTATCGTATATCGACGTGTCTCTTGTGGATTGTGGACCTGTAATTCGCACGCGGGTGAGTAGGTGGACAAGACGATTAGGCGAGAGCACTGAATGGCCGTCTGCGTAGGCGTGAATGCATGTTTGCACGAATGGTGATGTGGAGCCACCTTACACTTTCATGTGTGTGAACATCTTCCTCCGGTCGCTTGCAATTGATTAAAAACAAAATGTGACACGAGCATGCCGAACTAGTCTAACAATCCTTTTTTTTTCTCAGCGCAAATCACGAAACTTAGATAGAGAACCAAACATAGACGTCTGGTGAGTCAATCAAATGACTTGCTGAAAAATAGTTCAACTTGAGCGACTTACCTGTGCTGATTTCTGCCGCTCCTCAACAGCGCCAGTCTCACATCTTATTCAACCCTGAGAGACGATGATGGCTGAGAAATTCTGTTATTTCCACAAACTGTTGCAGCACTTCCCTACTGCTGGCAGTCTCGTCTTTTGGCAACAAAACAACAGTTATAGTCACTAATTTCTTTCCAGGATTTTCTCTCACCTACCCCAGTCGTTTCCATGTTCGTACTACAGATAAAGCATCGAGTTTTAGCGATAGGCAAAAGATTGTGCACAACTTATTTGCGTGTAAACGTTATGTACTGTGAAAGTATTCCAGGTGAGATAACCTTTCCCGAAGTCCCTCCAATATTTTAAATAACGCTCAAAAAAACGGAAAGCACTGATGCCATGCGTTTTTTCTCTGTGTTGCTCTTTAACGTTGCCGTTAATCGACGCCGCCTGCAAAGTGTGCACACAAGAACATTCCGACCCTGTCACGAAACACCGGAGGAATGAGGCGGGTGTTCTCACAGAGGTCCGCTGCGCTGAATAGTGCGTTTATTGGCTTCGCGAGACGGTGTTGATGAGGGTTTGATGCGTCGATTCCCGACTGCTCCAAGTGTTTCGTTTCTCAAACTACTTCTCATCCTTGCCACGATTATGGCTGGGTAAGCAATATGGTGTGTGAGTGTGTGTGTGTGTGTGTGCTGAAGGGAGACACACTGACCGGTTGCCATGGCAACGATGTCATTTTTGTTTGTGACTAATAATCTTGATTCCTTAAAGAACACAAGAATGGGTTGCTGCAGAAAACCAGTAAGGCATCGAAATAAAGACGTGTAGCGGTTGTTAAATGTGGCAGCGAGGGGTTTAGCAAACAAAGTGCAAATAAAAAAATACCCAAAAAAAGCTGGGGGGGGGGACAACCCTGCATGATGACACAGCCTATAATAAAAGCCTTACATTCACACAAGTACTTAAAAATAAACACGTGTAATGAATTAGGTACTGCACGATGTATATTTACATAGATATTTTCATTGATTCAATCTGCATTAAAATACTCTTCTTTGCAATAAATACAACTTGCATTAAAATAAGTCCTTAGTTATCGAAGATTAATCATCTAGGCCAGTGGTTCCCAAACCTGTCCTGGAGCCCCCCCCCCTGCACCTTTTGTATGTCTCCCTTATCTAACAGGGAGACATCCCAAATGTGCAGGGCAGGGGGTCCTCCAGGACAGGTTTGGGAAACACTGATCTAGGCAATTGCATGCTTGATTAAATTGGTGATAAATACTTCGTTTAATTAATCTGCACCTAATCTAATATCAAACAAATGAGCTCGGGTTAATCATCACATATCCTCTGCGGCGATAGAGACGCATGCAGCCAAACGCTGAGCCTCTACCGGCGCCTCTGGCTAAACGACAGCCGTCAATAGCCATTTCAGCACCACGGAGAGCGATGCAATCAGCACATAACCCACCGAGGGCATGAAATATTAACCACTCTGTGCTAGTGGAGCAATTCATGTATGTTTTTCTTGGTACTGTGATTCTCAGGTGAAAAGGGCGAGCCGTTTTGCAGACTTGTTTAGGCCTATTGTGCAACCCACTGAAATTTGAAACCTTATTGATTTAAATAAATGCTTTAAATTTTTTCGATTATCGTATATGTACTTCAGGCTCATATCTTCCCCCTCATCGGCTTTCCTTCCTACAGACAGCAATTAGCCGGTGCGCACTTAGCTATTCCGATACAGGTGGGTGGGCCGCTGTTTTGGCCGCTCAGGAAACCTGCGAGAACCGATCATCCGTTCATAACACGCACAAATTACAGCCCGCAATGCGCTCTCTGAATATGGGGGGGAAACCGAATATGGCATTAAATGTTTCAAGGGGCGAAATACACTGAACAGCTTGTTTTTAACCATCTGCACGTCTCCATCATTATACAATGTTACAGTGCTGGGTGAAAGCAGCCTGAACGGTAAGACGCCAATGTAACTACTGGGCAGATGTAAATACAGACCTGGAGAACATGTACAGAACACTTAATGGAAAAGCTCACCCATATATGAAAATTTGCTGAAAGTGTACTTACCTTCAGGCCATCCCAGATTTATTTATTTATCGGAACAGATTTTGAGAAATGTAGCATTTTAGTATCTTTTGCTCCCCAATGGATCAACTGCAATGAATGGGTGCCATCAGAATGAGTCAAAACAGCTGATAAAAGCATCACAATAATCCACACAACGCCAGTCTATCAATTAACATCTTGTGAAGTAATTAAACTAATTTATCATTGGTGTTTTTACCTTTAAACCATCACTTCTGGCCATAATCCATAATAACACTTCCTCCAGTGAAAAAGTCTATCAGGGTTATCCACTCCCACCAAAAACCACCAGCATATTTGTTTAGAACAATTTTCACTTGACTAGTGCATATTTCTCTCCTGATTCAGACAACTTTAACTGGAGAAAGCAATGTTATGGATAAAGAACACATTTTAGCAAGAAACAATGATTTTAGGCTAAAATCTGAATGATTTTGCTTTTTTTTTTTTTTAAACAGCTTTCCACTTTTTTGGAATAATTGTTTTGTTTTTATTAGCTATTCACTCCACTGGAATCATTGGTGAACAAATGATGCAATGCTACAGTTCTCAAAATATGTTCTAAAGAAATCTGTTTGAAGAAATAAAATCATATCTTGGATGACCCGAGGCGGAGTAAATGTTAATTTCTGTGCGAACTATTCCCTTAACTGGCAAATTCATTTAAAAAGAAAAACCCAACACACAATAAGTCAAAGATAAACTAGTTTCCTTCCTTAGTTTCAATTGTCCAACAAACACAGACAAGAACAGAACAAAAATAGACTAACACAGTTTTTCTGTAAATAAATAAAAGGAAGAATCAAATTGCTCCCTAAAATTCCTTTATTTCTTATTAATTTAAATAACTTAAATAATGGCCACAAAATGCCCTATTGTTTATCCACAAACTTTTAAATATGGGCAAACAGTTTCTGCAAACACATCTTGTCCAAAGTTCATATCACTTCGTTAGAGAGGATCTTTGGGAACTGAAGGCCCCATATAATATAACAACAGGTAACAACAGACTACCAGAGAAGATTCCTTAACAACCTTTTGATTGAGAGACCAGTAGAGCCAGAGAAAATTGCAGCTGTGGTCATATAAAAAGGGATTATTGTTCTTATTGAAAAGTATAACCAAACTACTTCATTTTAAAGAGGAGACTGAACACCACTTCTGGCTCATATTTCATGATTAACTATTAGCCCCATTGGTCTACCCTGACTGGCCTAAAGGCTTTAAGGATTCAATCTCAAGCATCAGTGTCAGGGAAATATAGCCATTCACTTAAAAATGGAAAAAGGCCTTTTGAAAAGTGAACCACAAAATAGAAACGAACAGACAAATTTAGTAAAAACTGGACACAATTAAAATACCACATATAAAAAAAAAATTAAACAAACAAACATAATATTCATATGACTAATGTTCAACCACATTTTTAACTCCCCCCTCTGTTATTCCTGATCCTGCATCTCTTTCACCACAAACACACAACGGTCAAATTCTGTGCAATGTACTATTCTTCATTAAACCCCTGAAAAAAAGAAAAAAAAAAATATAATGGGTTCAGTCCAACTACAATAGGACAGCATTACAGTAACTGTCCCATCACACCTGCAAATCTAAATATATTATAAATTCTGTGCTGACAGTACACACCAAAATCCTGCTTATGGTCATGATAACCCTAGAGGCCCCAAATGAACTTTCAAAACTTTTACTACTGTTTTCATACTCTAAACAATTGTAAAATTTCTGAAACACAGATGAAAACCCTTTTCGTGAACAAAACAAAGAGAATTGTCACAAAGACAGTTCAAGTCCTGAGAGCAAGTTGAAAGAGACAAGGGAACAAAAACGAGAGGAGTGATTTGGTAGGAGCATGACAAAATGAATGTCATTCTAAAAATGGTAAAACAGATTAAGGAGAAAAGGTGGTCTGAACACTTCAATATTTATATGTACACAAAAAGCACAGATTCATTCTCTTTTATAGCCGCCTCAGAGCTCGTTTTTTATCCATTTTCTTCTTTGCAACTATATTGGTATTGCTACTGCTTGTGCCACTGGAGCTGCTATTACTTAAATTGTTGGCGGCAACACCATTTGTTACCAAACCAGCCCCGGCTACACGTTTGTTTGGGTCTCCTGCATGCTTTTTGGGTTGGGGTCCATCAGCAGGCTCTTGAGGGGCCCCTGACGTGCCTCCCATAGCATGGATCTCTGTTAGAAGGTGAGCACGGGATGCATACTCCTTATAGTCCTCCAAAAGTAACCTCCCAGCCTCTTCGTTCAGGGCCGACTCTGGGTTAGGATGGATCAGAAGGCACTTGATAGTCTGTGAAAGAAAGAATTAGAAGGATGTGGATGATAAATATGAGTTACATAATACAGTACAGAAAAAGGTACTATTTTGGAAGTTAAGAATTTAAAAAAAAATATCTGATGGTCTTTTGGAACTCTCATGGAATTCTCATTTCCATGGCCATATGTAGCCTAGGTGGAAAGTGCGGTCATTGGTGTACAATACAGCTACACTTGAAATAATCGATACCGTTTTTGTTTTGTTTTTAAATACATAGACCAGTCATGAGTTTCAAGGTCTGTTGCAAGCACATTTAAACAATAAATAAATAAATAAACTATAAGGGGGAGTGGGGCATATTGATCCAATATTGACAATATTGTTTTATATACAGTCATGGCCAAAACATTGGCAGTGACATAAATTGTGCTTTGCAAAGTTTGCTACTTTAGTATTTGTAGATTATTTTTAGTTTCTATAGTATACTGAAAAACAATGATAAGCATACAAGTTTTAAAGGCTTTTATTGGCAAAAAAATATAATGAGTCAATATTTACAATGTTGACCCTTGTTCTTCATAACCTCTGCAATTCACTCTGGCATGCTGGATATTAGCTTCTGGACCAAATCTTGACTGATGGCGATTCATTCCTGCCTTATTAGTTCTCGGAGTTGATCACAATTTGTGAGCTTCTGCTTGTCCACTCGCCTTTTGAGGACTGACCACAGATTCTCCATTTGATTGAGATCTGGGGAGTTGCCTGGCCATGGATCCAAAATTTGAATGTAATGATCTTCTTTATCACTCTTGCTTTGTGACATGGTGCTCCATCATGCTGGAAAACGCACGGATCACCACCACATTGCTCATGGATTGTTGGAAGTCGCTCTTGCAGGACATTTTGATATCATTCTTTATTAACGGCAGTGTTTTTGGGCAGAATTATGAGAGAGCCCACTCCCCTGGTTGAAAAGCAACCCCACACATGGATGGTCTCAGGATGCTTCACTGTTGGCGCGTCACAGGACTCATGGTAGCGTTCACCATTTGTTCTCTGAACAATCAATTTTCCAGATGTCCCAAACAGTCGGAAGGGAGC